TCTGCCTACCTCTGCTTCCCAAGTGCCTGTATTATTAAAAGCATGCGCCTCCAAGGCCTGGCTGTTTTTGTTTTCACACAGACAAACAAACAAAAAACCAACCATAGTCTCTCTATGTAGCCCTGACTGTTCTGGAATTTTCTAACTTGATTAATTCATATTTTTGGTTTTGGTTTTCCAAGACAGGGTCACTCTGTGCAGCCTTGGCTGTCTTGGAACTCTGTAAACCAGTCTGGTCTCGAACCCATAGAGTTCTGTCTGCTTCTGCCTCCTAAGTGCTGGAATTAAAGGCAAACACCACCACAGATTGGCTGCATTTTTGGTTTTTGTTTTGTTTTGTTGAGATAGGGTCTGTCTACATAATCTAGCTATCCTAGAACTCACTGAGTAGACCAGGCTAGCCTTGAACTCAAAGAGATCTACCTGTCTTTGACTCCCCAGCCCTGGGATGAAAAGCACTGGGTCACCACACCCGACCTGCTGACTCTTACTCTTAGGAGGTTGCTCCTATCCTAGGATCCTTACGTACGTACCTACTGCAATTCTCTTGCTGTAGTCACACAGAGTCCGGAAGTTATGCCACCTGCCCAGAATCAGAAACGAAGGCACTGTCAAATGCACGTGGCTTACGATTCAAGCTCTTCCACCAGCTCTCCAAGTTCCTTATCCCACTCCATGCAGGTAAAGTGCCAAGAGGGCATACCACATCCACGTCTTCTCTTCCCCACTGTACTCCTCTGTGTGTGTAGCTGGGACATTCTCAATGACATCATCTCTGAGGTCCTCTGGAGCCACCAAGGGCACCCTCATCCAGAACTGCATACGAACAGTTACCATTAGTTAGAACACCGTTTTCAACTAATTGGGTCCAAAAAGCTTCCCTCAAAAGATCTTGATCCAGATTTCAAGTTAAAATCTCTTTATACGCCTTTCTAAATTTGATTACATCTGTGTTTAATAGTACCTTATACACACCCTTATGCAAATACCTCCTTTGTCCTTTATTTTAACTAGAAACAATTAAGTATTTTCTATGATTTGGCTTTGTTTTACAGTGCTAAGACTCTCACCCAGAGACTCATGTATGTTAGGCAAGTGATCTACCACTGAGCTGCAACTCTGGCCCCATAGATTCTGTTTGAAACTATCTCCTCACACTTTGAGATTGGGGGTTGGGTGTGGTGTGGTGGGGGGTGGGCAGTACTGACATTTCAATTCGGCCAAAAGCACTGAGGCTTAACTAGGCAAAAGGTGCTTAGCACAGGTGACTATCAGGAGGATACCCAGTAGCAAAGAAGCCTACCATGACTATCAGGATACCCAGTAGCAAAGAAGCCTACCATGGAAGAGTGGTGGCCAGTGTGGATGTGGTTGGTCAAAACTCTGGCCAGGTTTGTGTTATCTTCCTGATTCAGGGGCAACAGGAAAGCTGGAAGACCTAGATATGCCCCAAAATTCAGCTCCTGTAACATAGCCTGAAACACATGGGAAGAGAAAGCCATTAAAAACTAGGAACCAAATACTTCCCAGGGAGAGAGGAGTTAAAACTGGATCTGGCATTGTGGCCCAGGCTGTCTGGAATTCACTGTGTAACTCAATTTGGCCTTGAATGGGAGGCAATCCTCACTCAGCCTCCGCAGTCCTGAAAATAGCTATGTAGACCAGGCTGGCCTCAAACTCACAGAGATCCACCTACCTCTGCCAGTGCTGGGATTAAATGCACGTGCCACCACCGCTCAGTTATTTTTGTCTTTTTGAGACAGGGTCTGTCTACATAGTCCTGACTATCCTAGAACTATGTAGACCAGGCTAGCCTTGAACCCAAACTTTTTTTTGAAACAGGGTCATATCACTTTAGCAGCATATATATTAAAACTGGGATGAAATAGGGTCTTAGTATGTAGCCCTGACTGGCCTAGGATTCTCTCTGTAGACCAAGCTGGCATCCAACTCAGAGATCTGCCTGCTTCTGCTGAGTTACAGATGTGAACCACCACACCCAGAATCAGACTGTCCTCTGATTTACAGGTTCTGGGGAGTGGGAGTTACTTCCCTAACCCAATTTGATGACAGAACTAATTTCTTTCCTGCTTTCCTTTTTTTTTTTTTTTTCTCCTTTCCTTTTCCTGGCTTGGAACTCTTAATCCTCCTTCATTATATTCCGGTGTGGAACAGCCTCCCAAACGCCGAGGTTACAGGTAGGGGCCACAGTACCCAGGTCAGACCTAATCTTTAAAAGGAACCCACAGAAAAAACAAACTGCCTTACCGCCTCAGAGTTCCTTCTGATCCTCTCCACTTTAGAGTCTGGACGAATCCACGGAGAAAGCTTTCCCACAATTAGCGTATTCCAGTCTGCACTCCCCCACCCAAGGAAAGACAAAAACTCAATTGAGATCTGGCATTTTCTTGCTCAATTTCTAGTTCTCAGCAGGAAATGATGAAAACAAGCCTTTTTCTCTCAGATATAGGGATAGCCTGAAAAATGGGGGAGTTACCTATATCACAGGGGCTAACCAGTATAACCAAGTCAGAAAAGGAGGGAATTGAAGACCTAGAAAGCACAAGTTATCACTGCCTCTAACAATCAAGGGGCACATGGGATGGTCCCTACCCCTTCCTGACAGCAGTAGGTCTGATCGTGTCTGGGGGCCAGGCCGATTCTTAGCAGGTTCCTGAGTGAACTCCCTCTTGAAACGCGGGTGGAAGACAGGCATGCAGAGGAAATCAAACCTACAACCGCGACAGACTCAGAATTATCATGTAAAGTGAGGACCCGGAGAGCAACCAACTGGGTTTAAACTGTCTTGATTTTGCACCGTTCTAAAAAGCCATCAGTCAGCCCCCCCCTCCCCCGGGCTACTGAGTTCAGCCCATCTTGGGACATATCACTTTCTCTACACTCTGCACCAATTTCTTCCCAAAACACAGCCATGAAAAAGACGAGTGAGAAAAGATGGGCATCCAAGGCAAATAGCATTCTTTCTTCCCGGATAACACTGGCTTTCCAGGACGTCAAACCCAGATTGTCCCAATACAGCCATGCCTCCCCTGCCAGGTTAACCTCTTCCCTCGATTGCCATCTTCTACTTCCTTCTACTCTAAAATAATCTCAGCCTCCAAGGCCCTAGATGGACTGACTTGCGTCCCGTTTTTTATTTGCCCAACAACTCCCCTGACTTTTGAACTCGGTGACCACACGCCTCCCAGAGTTTCATCTCGTTCCTGGAACACAAGTCCTCCCCACTCAAGGGGTAATAGTGTCTCCAGCCCTCATCCCCGGCGGGGAAACCAGTCTGCCCTCCTTGGGCCCCAAATTTGGATCCCGCATTGCTCTGGCGGAGGTCCAGCCCTCACCCCTGCTTGGCCACAGCACCCAGTGTGTCAGCTATTTCGGGGACGCAATTCAGGTCCCTCCCGCTGGACACGCGGCTGCCACCGGCACCTCCGACTGCCATCGCCGCCATCTTTTCCCTCGCGCGGCCCACGCCGGGATTCCTTGCTAGTAAAGACCAATCACGACGCCGAGAACAGTCCCCGGGAGGCGGGACAAGTCGCCTTAACAACCAGAGCGTCTTCACAGCTCCGGAGCGGAGGCGGAGGGACCGAGGGGCCGCTCCCGCCAATCCACAGGCCGCACGGTGACGTAGGCGTGGCTTCCCGGCTCGACCAATGACAGACTGTCACTGGTGACGCTCTGCAGTCTCCCAGAATGCCGTGTCCGCCTGAAGCGCTCTAGAGAAGACTACAGGTCCCATGCAACCCTGCAGCTAGCCTGAAGTACCATCATTGGACTGCACGAAAACGTCTGCGGGCCAGTGGCGCAATGGATAACGCGTCTGACTACGGATCAGAAGATTCCAGGTTCGACTCCTGGCTGGCTCGTTGGGACTGGTACTCCTTTATTTGCAACCCTTGCAAATCTAGCATTCCTAAACAACCAGTCCTGTATAATACTTTTCTTTCTTCCTTGTCTCGCAGCCGCTGTATTTCCTTCACTCTCTCCTTATGCTCTCATTTTCAGGTCTTAATTTCCAGCTATCCCATGCTGGCGCGTCTCATTCCTCTTTTCAAAGCTGTTTCTTGTATAATTAAGTCAATCTGAGCATGACAATTTCGGTGAATGGACTATTAAGATGAGCTTTGTCTCATTACTACGCTACACTTAAAAATAGACTTCAGTAACTTAGCCACTAATTCCTAGGGATTCTGTCTCAAACACAGATGTAAGTAAACATCTTTGCGCGCGCACACCCCTCAGAGAAAAGGAATACATGAGAGATTTCTGTACCCAGGAGTCGTGGAACTACCTCGCGGGGGACCAAGAGAATCTACGCTCCCTCCCCCCTTTTTTTTTCTGGAAAAGGAAATGGCAGAGGCAAGGAAGGACCTAGGAAGGGAAATGGGAAACACATACCTGAAGGCAAGAAGCCCACAGATGTTGAGGGCCCTCCACGCCAATCTGGGGGAGGCATTTTCTCAGCTGAAGTTCCCTCTGTCTTGTGTCAGCTTTGACGAAACAAAACAAACAAATAAACAAATTAACGAGAACAAGGAGGCATTGACTATTCAAAGATTCAGTAGCAAGGAACCACGAGAGGGAAAAGTAGGGATGACACTCAGCGTTTTGCTCTTGAAGTGGGAGAGTTCAGGGAGAATCAGACTTGGGGTTCGGGGTGCAGACTGGTCATCCAGAGAGTACTGTGTGATAGAGTTGCAGGGACAATGATCTGAGCCAGACGATATTTGGACGTTTCCAGACGAGGAGTCGGTCGTCTTGACTAGTGAGATCACCATGGATTCTGGAGGACAGTGCTCTTAGCAACACTGGAAGGACATGGATAAAATGGGCTCTAAGGAACCCTGGGTAACATAAGTCCCCCCACCGGCACCCGCACCCCAGTAACAGTCAGGAAACCAGAAAACCAAGAAAATTCACCATGAGGAGTTGAGGATGTTTTTGTACCACCCACGCCAACCCCACCCCACCCCACCCCCCTTTTGCTGCTCCAGGATCTTAAGCAGGGTCCTTAGGCTCCTATCACATTCAGTCGAATGTGTCCTTAGGCTCCTGTTGACTGTGCCTATCTCTCAGATGTTCTTTGTTCCTAGTGATTGTTAATTTTGATGATGTAAGATGCCCTTCTGTTGGAATTTGTCTCATGTTTTTCTTGTGATTAAGCTGAGAAAGAAAATCAGAGATAAGTGGTCATTCTCTCCTTCTCTCCCTCCCGCCTTCCCTCCCCCACTTCTTCCCCTCATTCTTGGCTTTTTGAAGCAGGGATTTCCTCTGACTTGTAATTCACCATATAACCCAGGTTGGCCTCAAACTTTCAACAATCACCCTGCCCCATGCTATTTTCATCACAATCAGCATGGCTTTTATCACCTGGTGGAAGGAATTTCTCAGATTTCTCCACAACACACTAATTGGCCCACCAGGCACAACCGTAGACCTATAATCCCTGCTACCTGGGAAGCTGGGGCTGGAAGATCTCTTTTTTGTTTGTTTGTTGGTTTTTGTTTTTGTTTGCTTTTTCAAGACAGGGTTTCTCTGTGGCTTTTGAGGCTGTCCTGGAACTAGCTCTTGTAGATCAGGCTGGTCTGGAACTCACAGAGATCCTCCTGCCTCTGCCTTCTGAGTGCGGGGATTAAAGGCGTGCGCCACCACCGGCTGGAAGATCTCTTAAAAACAGCCCAGACTCATATACTCTCTCACTCATACACACAATCTCTCTCTCTCTCTCTCTCTCTCTCTCTCTCTCTCTCTCTCTCTCTCTCTCTCTCTCTCTCTCTCTCTCTCTGTCTCTCTCTCTGTCTCTCTCTCTCTCTCTCTCACACACACACACACACACACACACACACACACGATTTCTTTCCTTCACCAATGACAATTTTCTATGCTATACTTTTTGCAAGGACACACTCTGCGCGCCCTTGCCCTCACCATGGGAATAGAGAACTACAGGTTCTCTCCTGTAGGGGGCAGATCTGAAGAATTTATTTACAATTCCTCCCGCAGATCTTTCCAGTAGGTGGATGTCTGTGGGCAGTGAGTATTCTGTCCACAATCCAGGAGATAAAAACCCTGTTAAGGAGGCTTCCTTTCTGTCTGCCTCAGCTGTGCACAGCAAACTGCATCCACCAAAGTCTCAGTAGGTGTCTGTTCTTTCAGAGGCTAAACGTCTAGTTGTGGACCATCTGTGTTTCTGGGGTCTCGCTCCTGAAGCAAGGTAGTGCTTGCTCCATTGAGTGTTAAAAATCCATAGGTGAGAGGGAAAGAAGAAAAGCCTGGGAAATACTGTGGTTTCACTAGTTACAATAATTCTCAAGAGTTTGGACATTTATGGGGTTGGATTTATTCCATCTGTGCGGTCTTTGTTCTCCGCTAAAACTGGCTATAGCCACCTGTTGAGTGTGATGTCCAGCAGTTGCTGGGAATTTTGTCACACACTTCTGTCGTTTCTACGACCTTTTCCTGTGTCCCTGGGGAGGGGTAAAAGCATGTAGCTCCAGGTTTGTGTGTGGTTAGTGAAGTGCTCGCCACACAAGCCTGGTGACCCAGGGTCTTACCAAAGAGCAAGAACAGACTCCCAGAGGTCGTCCTCTGACCTCAGAAGCTACAGATCTCAGGTGTACAGCATGACGGGGGCCTTGGCTGGATGAAGACAGGCACGGAAGAAGGCCAGATAGTCTAGGGAAGAAAAAAGGATGCAGTGGGCGAGGCCAGCCAGGTCTACAGTTTCAGGGCAGTCGAGGATACACAGAGAAACACTGTCTTGAAAAAACAAACAAATGAATAAATGTATATATGTAAATAATAATAACCATAAATGAGCTCACTTTTCCAGTAGACACTAATGACAACACAGTAGAGCATTAGAGACTTTTGGGAAGGGGAGGGGAGGGGCGGGGAAGGAGATGCCCACTCCCAGATAGTGCTCTCCCTGCTGCCAGTTATTCCGTCTTCAGGCTCAGCTTTGTCTGGCTGAGTTTAGTAGTTTAAACCCCTCCTGCCAGTCTTAACTGCACTGTTCTTTGGCTGTGCTGGCCTTCCTGAGACCCTCCTTCACTCATCCCTGCACTCCCCCTTCACTCACCCCTGCACTCCCCCCTCCACTCACCCCTGCACTCCCCCTCCACTCACCCCTGCACTCCCCCTTCACTCACCCCTGCACTCCCCCTCCACTCACCCCTGCACTCCCCTCCACTCACCCCTGCACTCCCCCTCCACTCACCCCTGCACTCCCCCTCCACTCACCCCTGCACTCCCCTCCACTCACCCCTGCACTCCCCCTCCACTCACCCCTGCACTCCCCTCCACTCACCCCTGCACTCCCCTCCACTCACCCCTGCACTCCCCCTCCACTCACCCCTGCACTCCCCCTCCACTCACCCCTGCACTCCCCCTCCACTCACCCCTGCACTCCCCCTCCACTCACCCCTGCACTCCCCCTCCACTCACCCCTGCACTCCCCCTCCACTCACCCCTGCACCAGCTTGGTCAGCAGCCCTCTTCAACACCTACACAATGGCCAGCTTGACCCTCCTGCGGCTCCAAATTGCTTCTTTATAATCAGAGCATCCCTCTGGCTATGAAAGTGGCAGGGTCACTGAGGCAAAATAATCTGTGCCGATTTGCATTTTCTTCCTTGTCGTCTCTGTCATACAGTATTAATCTGTCAAGACAAACAGGAAGCAGGGACTGCTCTAAACATAGAAAACGATAGAAAGCTACTCACTTTATGTATGAAGCAAAAACACAGCCAGTATCAAAAACTGTCAAAGGCGGCATCCAGAAAGGCTCTAGACCAGTTCTATCTTATAGATATAAAATTCTGGAGATATTTAGAATTATTAAAATCAATATATTGCTGTAGTGATTATATAACACAGCTAAATAGTGCTTATCCCAAAAATTAATACAAAATTTGGTATTAGGATATAATATATATACATACACACATAGAGACAGACAGACAGACAGATTCTTCTTTTTGAGACCTGGCACTAGGAAGGGACTCAGGAGGCTAAGACAGGGCACCCTGTATCTCTCTCTCTCTCTCTCTCCCTCCCTCCCTTCCTCTCTCTCTCTCTCTCTCTCTCTGACAGACACACACACACACACACACACACACATGATCTACATGATGGCAAAAGGCCAGGCTGTAGCGCAGTTGGAAGAGAGCCCTAGCATGGACAAAGACTCAGCCTCTGCTCCTAGCACAGCATAAACAGAGCATGGTAGCAGGTACAGCAATCTCAATGCAGGAGGCAGAGGCAGAAGGATCATTTTCCACTGCAAAGCAAATTTGGGAGCAGGCTGGGATACATGAAATATTGTCTCAAAAACAAAAATACAAGCGCGGTGTTGGGTATATTCACCTGTGTATTGGCACACATGTGTGTGACCCATGTGCATGTGTGTGGAGTCCAGAGGCTGGTGTGGGACGTCTTCCTCAGTAACTCTCCGCTTTGTGCATTGAGGCACAGGGTTTTGCTTGACTGAGGTTGTTGAAGGATTTCCTGTCTCTGCCTGCAGAGTGCTAGGGTCACAGGCAGGCTGCTGAACCTCAGCTTTTGTGTGGGTGAGGATCTGAATTCTGCCCCTTACACTCTCAGGACAGCCAGCCCCTCCGCCCTCAATCACAATTCTAAGGGTGCCTTTTGTTAGCTGATTTATTTTTAAAGGTGAGGAAACGAATTTGATCCCAAGTAAGGGAGAATCTACAAGTTGTCCTCTGACCTCCACACATGTGACTGAAAACTCAGACACAGACACATACACAAATGCTTTGAAGTATGATAAGAATAACAAGTCAGCCCAGTGGTATTGACTGCCTTTAATCCCAGCACTCAGGAGGCAGAGGCTGGCGGATCTCTGTGAGTTCGAGACCAGCCTGATCTACAACAGCTAGTTCCAGCACAGCAGCCTCCAAAGCCACAGAGTAAACCCTGTCTCGATAAAAAACAAAACAAAAAAAGAAAAGAAAGAAAAAAACAAAAACAAAAAACCTGCAACTGTGTGCACATCCCTCCAGGACACATATACATACACATAATTAAAAAGTAAATAAACAATTTTTTTAAAGATATATTGTCTTAGTTACTGTTCTTTTGCTGTGAAAAGACACTACGATCAAGGACATTTATGAAAGAAAGCTGGTTTACAGCTTCAGAGGCTTAGTCTTCATGGTGGGGAGCATGGTGGGACACGGTGGGACACAGCAGCAACTGAGAGACACTGGGTGGGGCTGGTGTGAGCTTTTGGGAACCTCCAATCCCACCCTCCAGTGACACACTTCCTCCAGCAAGGCCACACCTCCTAGTCTTTCTGATTCTTCTAAGTAGTTCCATTCCCTGGTGGTTAGTCAACTATAGGAGCCCATCTAAACCTTATCTAAACCACCACACATATCTGCTATGGAACAGTCTTTCTGTACACTGTTAACAAAGAGCTGATTGGCTGAAGGCTAGGCAGGATTTGGGGGCGGAGTCAGAGAGTTGTGAGCCAGAAATGAAAGAAGCAACATGGGGAGTTCATAGACAAGGCAAATGAGCTCAGGGCACACACACATTAGTAGGAATGGGTTAATTTACGTTGTCAGAGCTGGCTGGAGACAAGTTATCAACCCAGCATTTATAATGATACGAAGTTTCTGGATGGTTATTTGGGAGTGACTGCTGAGACAGAGAAACTCCACCTACACATAGCCTCTATATTTTACTTCTGGAAAGGTGGCCTTAGTGATCTTCACACACTAGGACAAAAGATTGAGCAAGAGAAATGTTTAGTGAGAGCGCTATTTACATATGTGAAGGTTTTGTCTGCATGTACACTTGCACACCAGAAGAGGGCACTGGATCTCATGGGACTACAGTTACAGATGGCTGTGAGCCACCATGTGGGTGCTGGAAATTGAACTCAAGACCTCTGGAAGAGCAGAAGTGCTCTTACTCACTGAGCCATCTCTCCAGGCTCTCATTAAAGGCTTTTTTTTTTTTAAGCCACAAAGCAAGTTAGAGAACGGAGAAAGTAAATCATCCATGCAGTGAAGTCTTAAGCAGCCATTAAAGTCAATGTCACCAAACAAAATTGAATAATGTAGGGAAGTGCTCATAATATTACCATTAAGTGATACAGATTACAAACTGTACATGCAGAATGACCTCAGTCATGTAGAGAAAATCTGTTTTCCACTTTTTCAGTGATAAGCATGTTTCTATTCCATTGACAGCATTTCTAAAAGTCTATATAAACACAGGCTTGCTTCTGTCTCATTCACCTGTTCCTCTGTAGGCTGCTGCAGCTGTCTGACCTCAGCCATTACTCCTACCTCACAGCAATAACACGCTCATCCCCCTCGCCAGAGTATTAATAAGCTTTACCACATGCCAGGCATTTTACAAAGTATCATAAGGAGTGGGGCGTTGGTGGCATGCACCTTTAATCCCAGCACTCGGGAGGCAGAGGCAGGCAGATCGCTGTGAGTTTAAGGCCAGCCTGGTCTACAGAGTGAGCCTCCAAAACAATACAGAGAAACCCTGTCTCAAAAAGCAAAAAAAAAAAAAAAAAAAAAAAGTATCATTAGTTTTCTGGCTATAATTGTTTTTGTTTGTTTGTTTGTTTGTTTTTGGTTTTTCGAGACAGGGTTTCTCTGTGGCTTTGGAGGCTGTCCCGGAACTCACTCTGTAGACCAGGCTGGCCTCGAACTCACAGAGATCTGACTGCCTCTGCCTCCCGAGTGCTGGGATTAAAGGCGTGCGCCACCAACACCCGGCTCTGGCTATAATTGTTAGGCGAGAATTATTAATGTCCATTCTACAGGTGAGGAAACAGAAGATAAGTGTCTCTAGAGGAAAGTGATACTTACCTGTTTAAGAGCCAGATGGGAAAGAGTCTAGTTTCTGATTCCAATCATTCTTTCCTTTTTTGTCAAAATGTGGTCCAAGAAGCCAGGCAGTGGTACTGCACACCTTTAATCCCAGCACTCAGAAGGCAGAGGCAAGAGAATCTCTGTGAGTTCAAGTCCAGCCTGGTCTAAAGACTTCAGGACCGCTAGGGCTAGACAGAGAAACCCTGTCTCACTATGTAGTCCCGGCTGGCCTGAAACTATGTAGCACAGGTTGGACTTTAACTCACCTGATCCTCCTGCCTCTGCCTCCCTCCCAAATGCTGGGATTACAGATGTGAGCCTCCATACCCAGCCTAAAATATTTTAAATTGTTCTCAGCTTGTTGTTGTTGTTATTGGTGGTGGTTGTGTACTTCGTGTTTGTTTGTTTGAATTAGGATCAAACTATGTAGCCCAGGCTGACCTCACCCTCCTAAATGCTAGCCTGACTCAGTTTTCATTTGGGGAATGTCTATTGATAAAATGTACAAGATGGAGATAATGGCTCATTCTGTAATCCCAGAATTTAGTAAGCAGAGGCAGGAGGATTACTACAAATTCAAGACTAGTTTAGACTACACAAGAGAGGCTGTCCTGAACAGAAACAAAAATAAAAAGTATTTGGGATCTAATAAACTTTCAAAGCCTTGGGCTTGTCTTTTTTTTCTTTTCTTCTTTCTTTTTTTTTTGCTTGTTTGGTTTCTGTTTTTTGTTTTTCAAGACAGAATTTCTCTGTGTAGCTTTGGAACTATACTGACACTTGCTCTGTAGACCAGGCTGGCCCCGAATTCACAGAGACCTGCCTGCCTCTGCCTCCCAGAGTGCTGGGATTAAAGGTATGTATCACCACTGCCCGGAGGGCTTAACTTTTTGTTAGGTTTATTTAGATTGTTTTATGTGTATAAGTGTTTTGCCTGCATTATATGTATGTGTATCATGTGTGTGCCTGGTCCTCAAAGGCCAGAAAAGGCCATCAGATCCTCAGTAACTGGATCTGACAGACAGTAAGCTGCCATGTGGGTGCTGGGAATTGAACATGGACCTTTTGCAAGAACAGCAAGTGCCCTTAACTGTTGAGCCACGTCTCCAGTCCCTTGAAGCCTTGTTTAGTGGAAAGGGATTACATCCAAGCCTTGTTCAGGCACCTGTGCAACCCAGCTTCTTTCCCCAGTGAGACTCTATCTCAGTATTCCTTTCAAACTTAGGGTTAAATGAAAACCAGAACCCTGTGTGATAATAAGTTTAATATGTTGATTTGGCTAGCCTGTAATACAAACATGTACAGATTTAGCTATACACAGTGCAGTCTGCTTCCTTTTCTCCCCTCCGTTACTTTCTTTATATACTAAATTTATTCTGTGACAACTTTATACATGTATACAGTATACCTAGCTCATATCCAACCCTCATCTTCCCTCCCAATCTCCCTGGAACCCCCCCATGCACTCCCCCTCCCACTTTAATGCCTTTTTTTAAAAGAACCCATTGAGTCCAATTGGTGGCTCCTGCATGCTCCATTATAGTATGGGTAATACAGCAGCAACCGAATCCCCAAAGAAAAATGGCCTCCCTTTCCCCCAGCCATGATCAATTGCCAATAGCGGCTAGGCTAGGAGCAGAGCTCATGAACCCCTCTCTCATGCATGCTGGAACATTGGCTGGTGTGACCTTGTTCCGGTCTTGTGTAGCAACCACGATCTGTGAAGTCAGGAGTGCAGCAACCATGCCATGTCCAGAAGACAGCATTTTATGCCTTCTATCT